AGTTAAAGGATAACCTTGGGCAAGGAATATTTTTTTGCAGTGAGAATTCCATAAGCAGGGAGCCATATCAACCATATTCTCCAGTGAGTTCAAACTTAGTTATCTTACAAGTAATTGACTAGGAAGCCTCTATTATTATTTTTTTGATGCACCATATCCTAATGATCGACTACCTTTCTGGATTGTAAATTGGTATGACATATGGCACTGTGCATAGTAAATTAGTAAGAATGAAGAACAATAGTATTTTGCAGAAGTAATCAGATATAATCAAACTTAGCATGAATTGGAAGACATCTGAATAAGAATGTGATCCTCTGAAGTAGGCAGAATATAAATAAGTTGGAAACAATTGGTTGCCCTATTAGATGGGGAATAGGATCTATAGGATTATAGCTTGATCTATAGTATATATTGGGGCCAGCTGAAAAGGGGGTTGGGAGATAGGAACACTATGTTGCAGTGGTTCTTTTTCCTGAGTGATGAATTGTGGAAGGGAGGGGGACAATAAGAGCTAGGGTCAACCAGTGTGAGAAGCTGGAGTGGCTAAGGATTCAAATACTATCAGAATCTGAAGCTGGTCTAATTTTTAATTTTGAGTATGTTTCGTTCCCATGAATGGATCTGGCTCACAGTTTGGAGTTCCTTCTGGTCTCACAGCTCTTATCTGAACAACAGGTAGAAGCTGAATTGTACAATTAGATCTGCTGTGACAATTGCAGGCATTCTGGAATCAGGAATGCCCTTGTTAATTTGCAGGTGTAAACATTGTAATTTATTGTGAATGGGCTGTACTTGAAGACTGTCCAGAAATTTCAGCTGCTACAGCATGTGGCAGTCTGGCAGTTAGATTCATCCATGTCGACACCACTACTATAAGAGCTGCTAAATTGCTTCCAAATGCAATTCAATACCACCTGCTATGGGTTGAATCTAACCCTCCTGTAAGCGTTTATATCATAGAGGTGGCATATTAATTACTACTTGGATGAGAATCAGGTTTAAAAACATACTTTTCCTAAAGTAACCTTATGACTTGTATTATACACTGTTTTATTAACAAGCTTATTTGACTGAGTTTGTTTATTCTCAAAGAGTATGGTGCAATTGATGTAATGGCTTTAGGATTTACTGAGTCATAGATTTATTTAGGGTTCCTCAAATTTTATACAGCCTAACCATCTTCTCAGTTGTGGAATACTAATTATAACATTATGAACAAATGAATTTCTTGCCGTCATTTAACTACATTCAAGTTTGTCTACATCCTTCTTCATATGAGACACCAATAATTGTGCACAATACAGTAATCATCATAAAGTAAAAAATTTGTAACCAATATATAGATGTATACCCTCAAATTGAATTTCTTGTTACTGCAGTTACATTAACTTTAATTTATATGCAGTTCTAAATCAATTTTTATTCCAAAGAGGTTTTTTTTCCCCAAGTATCATTACTAAGCTATGTAGTAATCATTCTTACCTGTGTATTTGTTTGCTGAGAGCAAAGTGAAAAAACACATGCTTATCTCTTTTGAATTTTATTTTGTTATTTTTGTCCTATTTATCCAATCTATCAAAATTGTTTTGAATTTTATTAATGACTTCTAGGTAACTATCCCACTCAATTGTGTGTCATCCACAGATTTGAGAAACACTACCTTAACCTCCACATCCAAGTCATTGATAAATATGTTGAAGATTATAGAGCTCAAGACGGCATATAGAGCTCAAGACGGCATGATAACTCAGAAATGTATAGAATTTTCAAGCCAGTTTTAAAACCATTCAATTAACATGCCATTAATAGTCTTACTGATCAGAACTTCATGACTCCTAACAAAGGGATTCTATCAAATGCTTACAGCCTGGAGGAAAAAAAAATCAAAGTAGGACCAATTGATTTCATAAAAACACAGCCCAGGATTATGCAAATAATATTTTAAAACCACAAAACTGATTCTTGAACAACCTATTTTAATCTTACACAATTTTCTTTCTAACTTTCTTGGTAAACAGCCTGACATTTGCATAGCACTGATCGAAAGGCATTCTGAGCTATATAGTCTTATCTTCGGAATATATGGACGATACAGATTCAATAGCAAGAGCATCTTTTAATATTGCACTGCTATTTTTTTTTAATCATTGGCTGCTAGAGATCATTTGCAAGTCTTCCATGAAAGAAAAGATATCCCAACAAACCTTTTTGTATGCAGCACAATTATGTAACAATAATAATTATTTTTTTTAAAAAAAACCTTCTGTAAATCCATGACTAAGTTTATAGTGGAAGAGGTGTCAAAATTCAACCCACAAAAGCCGTTCTAAGTCTTCACAGCCTAATTCTTGCCCCTTGGAATAGAAGTGTGGTAACTCTTGTCAACACCTCTCTTCTAAATTTTACATCTTCAAAAGAGAGAAAGTAGAAGAAGACCAACCCCATGTTCAAAGTCTCATGTCTTGTGTGCATAGAAATCACTGTAAATCCATGGGAAAATGGTTTCAGAGGCTGCTCATAAATCTGTTTTGTTTGCAAGTCCAACAAGCATAAAAAGCAGTTCTTACCTTACATAGATGGAAGCATTACATAAAATGTAACACCAATGTTATAGGTTTATCCTCTGGACCTGAAAAACATTTCCCATGTTCTTGAATAACCGGTTCAGTGAACTTAGGGAGGTGGTCTTTCTTTTCCCCTCATAAATGATGCTGTAGTAGTATCATGGACAGCTTGGTAAAGCACTGTGATGACCCGGGGCATGGCACAAAGGCAACACAGTCAAATAAGCAAGAAGAGTCCCTTTATTATCTCCAACTTTGCCCCCAATTTGTCCAGATTACCTTCGGCTGGAGAAAAACTCTCCCAGGAACAGTCTTTAAGTGGAAGAAATTCAGTCTGAAAACAAAGTACATACAAACTGTAACTAAAAATCCAAACAAACCATGCTGCAGTAATTAACTTGACAGGGCAGGAGAAGGAATTGCAAACTTGAAAGCACAGCAAAACATACACAGTTGGGAAGACGCCAGGAACACAGATAAGCCTCAACGATACAAGATAATTCATGATTTGCTCCCAACAACTTGCTATGTGCGGCTTCCATTTTAAAACACTGTGTTCCCAGCTGCAGCTAATAAAGAGAATCAGGCTCCTTTCCTCCCCCGTAAGCCATGCAACTCACGTTGCTCCCTTCTCTGTTCCTCCCTGCATGTCCTAGGATGAGGAGGGGGTGGGCCTGGGTCTTCCTCCAAATTCCTTCTCCCTTGCTCTGCCTCTCTCCTGCTTTGCCCAGCTGGACTTTGCCCTTCCCCAGTTTCTTCCACAGCCAACGGAGCCACACTCCCACTCCCTGTCAGCTGCTCGGCCTACCCCTCCGAATCAGATTCCGACGGGCATAACAAGCACTTGGCATTAGGTCCTGAATATTAAATTATTATGGTATTTCCTCAATAAAATTGAAGTCCACTTCCCTCAGCGGCAAGAGCCATGGTGATGCAGTGGTTAGAATGCATTATTCTAGGCTAACTCTGCCCAATGCCAGGAGTTTGATTCTGACCAGCTCAAGGTTGACTCAGCCTTCCATCCTTTTGAGATTGATAAAATGAGGACCCAGAATGTTGGAGACAAGATGCTGACATTGAAACCATTCAGAGTGCTGTAAAGCAGTATGGACCTGTATAAAGTCTAAGTGCTATTGCTATTGGTCTGGTCCACTTTACTTTTCATGTTAAGACCATAAGGATTCTGTGAGACTCTGCTCTAAATTGTAAATGTGTAGTCCACTGTAAAAAATGACCATCATAAAGAACTTGCCCATGAATTATTTTCTTAAGCATAAGCTTCCTTAATATCTGCAGATTAAACTCATCTATGGTCTTTAAATCTATAGGAACTATAGCTCTAAAACTGAGTTTAAACATTTAACAGAAGTAATTTCCCAATGGTGCTATTATTATTATTTTTTGCACATTTATTTATATATCAAATTTGAAAACCATCCTTATCACTCACAGAATGACTCTGAGTGATGTCCAACTAAAACATTAAGTGAAATAGCTATATTTGGTGACCAAATATCCATTTAGCAAAATTACAAATTTACAAAATTATTTGATAATCACTGTGGTCCAAAATTAGTTACTATCAATCACAATTAATTTACCATCCATTTGTCTGTACAAGGGTAATTTCTGTTTTGTTAACAAAATGGTCTTTATTGATTAGTTTTAGGTAAGATATTTCTATTTTTTCTCTTTGAAATAATTTAAGCAAAAAGTTTAATGTCAATACTACCAATTTTTAAAATCCCTGCCACATGTTTAGTGAGCATTATTGTTCCAATTCAACCTGAAAAAATATAGTCTTTTCGAAAAGATGAAGTTATTTTATACATTTCATTTTTTATTTAAAACACTTTATAGCCACCCAACTTTGGGTGGCTCCCAATGAAGAGTTAAAACAGCATAAATACCGTAGTAAAACTATAAAACTAAACACAGTAAAAAAAAAAAAAAAACTGGCACTGTTAAATTTCTGATATGATGGGTGAGATGATGTAATTTAATCTCTAATTCTTTAAATGTGGATGCAGTTTGACCTTCTATTATTATTTATGTTTCTGGGTGTCAATTAAATTGTGGATCAATTTTTAAATTGTTCTAGCTTACAATATCCCTGGGCTATGTTGAGCTTCTGACTGGACATATTGGATCCTGGAACATCCAAATTTGTAAATGCAATTCAGATTTTAAACCTGATTAGAGCAGTCATATTATCTATTTTATTTTATGTTTTAAATGTATATGCTGGCTATCAGACTGCCAAGCGACTCTATCTTTGTTTTAATTTCTGTCTCATAATATTGAACTGAAAATATTTAAGCATGTTTACGAATCAGGATCTAACTGTAATATTTGTGCTAAAAGAAACTGAAACAAAACTGTTCTTTTTTAAAAGTGGTGTGATTACCATTAAGCATGATATTGTTTTGACAGGGGACAACTGCAATTCTATTGATTACAACAAGATGAAAAATTTCCTGCTGGATCTACAGAACAGAAAATATATTCTACAAACAAAAGAAAGCATTACTGAAGATAACATGGCTTTGAAGAAATTATTGGTGGATCAGTTGTTTAAATATTATGATTCAGACAACAATGGACTTGTAGATAGCAATGAACTAACACAGGTAAGTGATTACATTATCTATTCATTGCTACAAATTTTAAATATGAAACAGTAAAGAAAAAAATGACTTTGCCAAGTGAGATTAGTAACATCTGTTACTATCTTCATTTTTTTATTATTTTTGGAGCACTATTTCTGTGGAAACTTAACAAAACAAAATATTACTTTTCATATTAAGAATGATTGATAAACTAAAACATTGGAAAATTGAAATGTCTCAGTAAGAAACTCAAGTGAAACTGTTGAGATTTTGGTCTTCTAAGGTTTAATTGAGAACATAACAAAGTAAGTAACATGGTAAAATTTGCATTAATTAAGAGCTCTGTTTTAATTAGTCACTTTTCTCACTGATAGTTGCATAGAATATCATAAAACCATTGACATGCTTGCATTTTATAGCTTTTTCACAGTAGCATTTCACATTTAAAGTAAACATAAAATATAGATATGACAAATATAATGTTCCCTGCATCTCATGCAAAAACATTCAGGCGCACACAACTAAAAACATAATTAATGCTCATTTGTCACAATTATTTATTTATTTATTTGTTTGTTTATTTAGTCAAGCGATTATAAGATAACAGGTATAAGTATAAACATAGTTATGAATACATGAGATGGATACTTATAAGAAAAATAAAAAGAAACAATAGGACAGGGAAGGTAGACACGTTCGTGTGCTTATGCACACCCCCTACAGACCTCTTAGGAAAGGGGTGAGGTCAATAGTAGACAGTCTAAGGTTAAAGTTTTTTGGGGAAAAACCACAGAGTCAGGTAGAGTATTCCAGACATTGACCACTCTGTTGCTGAAGTCGTAGTTCCTGCAATGAAGTTTGGTGCAATTAACTTTGAGTTAATCAATTATCTTTGACTATAAACAATTATCTTTGTTCATTTTGTGCTATGGCAGTTTAGACTTTTCTGGAGTTTTGTTTCTTTCATTTTATTTTGAGTGAAAAGTGCTTCAGTGTATTAGTAAATCAGCTATGGGAAATTCAGTCTAGTATTATCGATGTATGTGTAATGTGTGAGAGCATATGCACTTACACACTGATTTTATTAATCTTCTTTCTGTTAAAGAATTATATAAATTGGCATATATGACTGTAACCGATTCAGACATTATCCCAAATGCACTATGAAAGAATATAGTTCATATTATTCCTATAATGGATAAATATGTGCATAGAATGTGAGAAATGATGCTACTTATTTGCTAATATTTATTAATATTACTTACTTTCCCAGAAGTTTCCAGTGTCATTTTTAAATTAACCACAGTTGTCCATTGTATTCCTACAGATTATAGGAATTGTATCTAACATGCCAGGCAAGAATCTAGTTCCATTTTGAGTCAATATAGTTTAAACTATTATATGAAAACAAGCCAAAATCTGAAACTATGTTTTGATTCAGAATAATATGTTTTATTATAGAATTTTATTGAATCAGTTCCAATTATTATTTGAACATTTTGAAAAATATATTTTTCCTAGTGTGCATTTTTCTGCTCATTAAATGTCTTTATGGGAATTTAATCAGTGCTCTTGTGTCTTTGATGGGAGCAAATAGATCTATACAAATTTCTGATTGCATAAGCAATGGAAAGTCCTATAGATAATTAATTCACTGAAAGCACTGGAGAATAAATCCATCTGTATTTCCTCAAACAAATAATAGTCATTCCACCTCTGCCCAAGGGTATGAACTACAAATCCAATATATTATTTCACATGATTGGCAGCATTATACAAACAGAATAAATTGTAAAATAAGTAGTAATGCTAAAAGTCAGGCATGAGAACTATTTGCTGAGTGCTGCAGGTAAATTTAGATATAACAGAGTCAAGCAATTGTTCTTTAGAATTCTGTCCTACTGCTTCAAAGCAAGAACATTATTATGAAACCATAGCACTGACAGAGCTGTTATATGCATCTTACTGCTTATTTTCTGGGAAGGGGGAAAAGCAGACTGATTCATCTGAATATCTTTTTTGTCTAAATACTCTTATCCTGGAAGAGGAAATTAAAAATATGCAAACTTTTATAGGTCCCTGCTCAAAATATAAACTTTAAAATAAACTTGACATAGATTACATAGAATAACATCCTATTTTGTTCATATTCCAAACAACACAAAATTTTTTTAAAAAGGGAGCTGTATGTCCAATCTGGTTCAGGAACAAAATATAGTAAAAGCATGTTGCAGTCATTGTTATCTTCTTAGGGTTATTCCATTTAACTATTAGAGCTATATGAATGGTTACATTCCTGATTTAGGACTGTGTATAACTTTGGTCCTGTGGTCACTGGGTAGTTGACATTCCTGTGTTAGCGCTTTCCATCGTGAAAAATCTCTATTTAATTAGCTTTTCTTCTTCATCTTCAACTGCTGAAGACCTATACATGGAATAACGTTCATTAAAAAAATAAATTTTGCTACACTTAAGCAATGAATAAAAGAGATAAGTTAACTGTTTCTCAAATGTAAGTCCAATACAAACCCATTTCATTCTCTAAATGAATCTCACTTCTCCCAAGCTTAACAATTCATACCTTGTCTTCTTTTTTAAAAAATTCCTTATTGAAGAAGATGCCAAGGTATCTAGATGTATCCTCCTCTTTCAAATGATTGGATAGTAAAATACCAATATATTATGTATATCCTGGTTTATGACAAATTACTGAAATTCTTCTGAGTTCCATACATAATTATGGGTGTTGATTGCCATTCTTATATTCATCATATGAATATTTTTCTACTTACTTATAGTAAGTTCTACTCACTTATAGTAAGGGTTTTAATTGCTGCACTTTAAGAGTTGCCACAAATCAGAATGAACTATAATAACACATAACAGATAATCAGAGTTGGAAGGGACCTTGTAGGTCATCTTGTCCAACACCCCCCACCCACCCAAGCGGGAGACTCTACACCATTTCTGACAAATGGCAGTCCAATCTCTTCTTGAAAACCTCAAGTGATGGCGTTCCCACAACTTCCGAAGGCAAGCTGTTCCATTGGTTGATTGTTCTCACTGTCAGAAAGTTTCTCCTTGTACAAAGATAAAATTTGCTTTGTACAGTCATTTTCCTAGTTACTGTCTTACTTATCTAGTTGCACATCTTCAAGTCATTTTTTTAAATCACAAAGGAAAGATCTGCTGATGCCTTGAGTACAAAAGAACATAGTGGAACATGTACATGCCCAACCCATTCTGAAATGCATATCTATTGATAATACCCTTTAGTGAACCTCAAAAGAGTAGATGGCAAAGTCAGTTAAGTTTGTCTGAAAAACTATTCTTCTTAAATGCAGATGCTGCATTTAACACCAATGTTGCAGATGCTGCATTTGCTACTATTAAGATTTAAATTACAACTCATGATTGTTTTTCATGGATTGTCACCTAAATACACTTTGGACTGTAGCAAGATTCACCCTATCTAGTTCATTCATCAATAGTCAGAATAGAATTTGTGGGATAGACAATAATAGGTGCACCTTTAAAAATGAAATGAATACATCCATTATTTGAATGGTATCTTTTCCTTTATCATTTTTGAAAGTGTTGAAGTCATAAAGTTCTTTCATGAACATTTAAATGATAGATAGTTGCTATTAAGGGATGATTGAGAGCTCCCCCTATTTGTTGTTTTATTATTGTTTTATTTGTTTCTGTCTTTATATTTTGTTTATAAAATTTGTTTTTCTTCTTCTTTGTGATTGTATTTAAGCAATAAATATGATTTTTTTTAAAAAAAAATTGAACTGCTATTCGCCACTAGGAGTCTGACTGCAGAATAGTCTACTGTTAAATAAATAATGAAAAATACTTAATGAAAATAAATATTTATGGAAGAAATAGTAACCAATAGAAAAAGAACCACCATTGGCAAAATAACTTCAAATTAGATTTAAAATGTTACAATATTAAGTAATCCTGAAGATCTCAGGTTGAAATTGTAGTAGGAAGTACTGGATATTGGGATTTCACAGACTTCTTAAAGGGAAAACATTTAGGAAAAAGGTTTGAGTGAAGTAACCCTTTGGAGTTGTTTCATGAAGCAGTGTGGCCATCTGACTTCGAAGAGTGAAGTGGAAAAACAATGTGGTTGTGCTTCACATACTCCAACTGACACTACTGATTATTAGGTGCTTCTATCATGTATAATGCATGTGTGAAATTGGAAGTGCCAGTTTAGCTTTCAGAGCAATACAAAGCATCTGACTGAAACAAATTGGGTTGCCTTTTCATCTGTATGAAGAAGAAAAAAAACACCTTTTTGTCAAAGCAAATCTGACACCCTTCTCATGGGCCTAGAAAAAATATCTGCAGCTGCAGATAATCAAGCTATTATATCACCCGCAGTACAAGTGCTACATTTAACAAGGAATGATCAGAAAAGTTATATAATTCTTCCTATGGAAAATGTAAACTCTGAGTAAAGTACAAAAAAAAAAAAAGAGGTAGCAAAAACATGTTAAAAGAGAACTGCATTATAAGGTAAAGAGTTCAGACTAGTGTTCAGGGCATTAAGAGAACTGATAAAAAATTTAGTGCCTGCTGTTCAGTCCTAAACTAATTTAGGCCAATTAAGGCCAAATTGAGCTACTTATTTATTAGACAACAGATCTGGAGACAGATATCATACCACATAAAACCAATGCCAACTTATGGAACATTGTTTAATTTAATCTATCAACTGACTTTGTGGATTTTTGAATGAATTTTGGCTGTTAGGTTCTGATAATCAAATCCTGATGAACACAAAATCTGGATTCACATTTGTTTTGTTACTAAAAATCATGTTGCCTTTTAACTTATTTGTGATAATCACAAATTAATTTATTACAAAGCATACTCTACTAAGAAATTAGTTAATATAATAATAAAATAATAAAAAGGAGGCCTCACAAACTGTTGAAGATGAAAATGTTTTTAATTGTTTTCTATCTTTTTCTTTCTATTCTTCTTTTTCTTGTTTTCTTTTT